CATATTGAATAATTAAAACTAATTAAAATCCTCCTCTTTTAAATTTTTTACAACAATCGCGTCATCATCAATATCATCAGAAAAAAAACAACTACGTAAAAGCGTATTATTGTATTGCGAAGGTTGTGAAATAGTCGATGGAATATTTTGAGGGAAATTGATAGTCGGTAGTTCCAATTGTAATTGTTCTTGCGTTTGTGATTCGAAATCATCATTATTAATATGTTGACGACATGGAATTATTGAAGATTCTGGGACGTCGGTAAAATCTTGCGATAACTGTGGAAATTGAGGAATAGAATGAACAGGATTGTCGTTTGTAGTGGTCATTTCATGATGCATTGTATTAAAGTAATCCATGGAATAAGGTAACGGAACAGATCGCATAACCGAATTTTCTTCGTTGTTGTAATCGGGAGGTTGCAATCTGAATGCGCAGTTTTGATCAAGCAGAACGTCATTTGTTAGAGTGTAAATTTGAGAATCCGGAGTTGAAAATTGATAAAATTGATAAGAATCAGGTTGAGGAACAAAAGGAAATTGATCAACGGAAGAATCAGAACGAGATTGTAACATTGGTTGAGACACGAATTGCTGAATTGTAGTGTCGCCGAAAGATAAATAAGTTAATTGTTGCGGTTGCACAAAAGTTGCAGGATAAGCATCGGAATTTGAAGAAAGATCGTTAAGAGTAAACGGAGGAACATTAAAATGGGGCGTCTGTTGCATGGACAGGTTTGCTTGAGGAAGAGTTTCAGAGAGTTTCGGAGGGTAAGAAGCCCATAATGGTAAGGTAGGAGTACAAGGTGACGAAGGAGTACTCGAAGAAGGGCTTGGAGAGGAATCAGCAGACTCATAATCCACTTTCTCATGGAGAGTAACATCGAATTTGTTAGCGGTATCGTGCGATTGTTTTCTGTGCGGTTTATAAACGTAACCGGGGTTAATTTCCCCATGTTCAGTTTTTGCAATATTCGAAAGTCTCGTAAAGACTTCTTTAACCTCGACGCTAGATTTTCTCCAAACCTCACTAGCGATGCCAGAAACGATAGGAACCTGAAGTTTAAAGGTGTCAACAGCACCTTGGAACATAGTTCGGAATATAAAAAATTTATTTGGAGGTCTAGCAGGCTTATCGGACGATTTTGCTTTTTTATAAAAAAACCGGTCACGAACTTCCTTTGAAGTAGGAACGGGAAAATCGATCTGAATACCATCATTCAATTTTACAACCACCTTTAAACGTTCACCTCGGGCGTCTAAGTGTGCCTGAACAACATTACCATTGCTAAGGACTCGTCTATTACCGGGATTCTTTAGTTGTCGATCCTGATTGTCCTTTTGCTGTTTTGTTATTTGAGGCATGACTAAATTTTTTTCGATTTGTTTTTTTTTTAAAAAAAAAAATAATAATAAAATAAAAATTAGCAACTAAAATAATTAATGACGTTTGAAATTTCCAAGTATACGCTGAATGCAACTACCAGAGTTGATTCTGGAAGAATATATATTTTTTCTTGTTAAATCATTTTTGACGTATGTATATATATTTATATTTAAATCTATTGTATCTGATCGAACTAAGATTATGAACTAACATGACAGGAGTACAGAAATCCTGCGTGTTTTTGACGCGAATTACTTCAGGATAGTTGAAGTTGTAAAAAAAAATTGAATAGTGCATACGACAAAAACAAAGTTCGAAACTCACAAATACATGATATATATTTTTTTTTTAAAAAAAAGGAAAGAAAGAAAACAAGGAAGCTGCTATTGTTTTGATTGCCTCGTGAGGGAATTTGATACATCTTCGCGATTGGGTCTAGTATTTCCAAATTTATATCGCTATTGACCTAACCAAACGCATTTATTTGGTAACAAATCAATCACAAAAGGGGGGACACTACATATGGACTTTTGATTCTTACCTTACATATTAACGATAAAAAAAAATATATTGCTTTGTTGGAAAACCGAGAGGTTAACGAAGTGGAGTAATTCAAGTATTAAGATGGATATTTATCTGTTTTTTTTTTTTAACATGTTTCACATTTACGTTTTTTCAGACCAAGATTAAAAAAAAAAACTCGTTAATGCATTCCTTCGGATCATTTGGAGCATCAGTATTTTTTTTTTTTCACTTCAAATTAATTGAAAAAAAAAAATTATTTCCTGATTGCAGAACGGGGAAGTTCATTGTTTGCTGGATCAGAAGACTATACTATCCGCCTTTGTTCGAATATTGTAGATACCAGAATGGTAAAAACTAATTTATTACGAACATTTATTGATGCCCATATTATGAATTTGTTTTTTTCTATGAAGCCAATTGCATAATTGTTAACCGATTTTTTTCTAATCTAATCACCAATCATTTGGATAATCTTTTCCATATGATTTACAGTAAAATATTTTTAGGTCTAGAAACACTTTAATCCAACAACGGCAGTTACACGAGTTTATATGAGGTAGATGTTTAACTAATTTCTATCGATTATGACGATTAATCATAATTAATCATACGATAAACAGATAAACAGTAAAGCATTACTGGAGTATTACTGGTATACCGTAAATAATATGTATATTTCAAAATATACACAATATATATTTATTTATTATTTAATATATATAATATTTTAATATGTGCTACGTATATAATTATATGTTTTTATTAATTTTATTAAAGTATCTATACTTATAAAGTATATCTATACTTATACCATTTCTATAGTTATACATTAAATAATCATTAATAAAACTTTATTGTTATTAAATAGGATAGATATGATAAAACTTTAACTCCGTTGTCGGATCTGTTTAATTCCGAAAATTTGGATATTTCTTTTCAAAATTATTACGTATCACTATTATTATTATATTTTAATAGAGAAAATCAAACATATTACGTCTTTGTGTTCCAAAGATGATGCGACAATACAAGTAAGACCAAAGCTTTTTTTTAATATCTCAATATCTATAAATGGCTTTGAGGGACAAAAAATGACAATAGTCTCCGATACCTATAAGCATTTATATGTTATATATTACTTAAATGGTGCCAATTAGGGAATATGGGTTGTATTTTAA